AAGGCCACCTGCAGGTCCACCCTTTCCAGCTCCACATCCTTTTCTTTCCTTAAGCCCAGCCAACCCTTCCCCTGCCTTCTCAGCGTGCAGACGTTTTTAAACTAGCCCTGCTCACAGTACCCACTCGGTGCATGCACGGTGGTGACACCAAGGACTTTCGAGGAATACAGTCGTGCCCCACTTGCGCCTCTGATGCGACCTAGGAAGCCTGAGCTTGAAAGGAGCGCCCTGGGCTAAGCCAAGCATTCGGCGTCTAAAGGGCGGGCTGGAGTACCCAAGGGAGCGTCTCTTGGACACCTGAAGGCGAGGCGGGGCCGTTAGCGTTACGCTCAGCGTCTGTGCAACCTGTGGGCGGGGCGGGACATTCGGCGGCTGTGGGTAGTGTCGGAGCGCTTTAGGGCGGGGTGGACGTAGCACCTGAGGGCGAGACGGGGCCGTTAGTATTTCGCTCAGCATCTGTGCACCTGTGAGTTGGGCGGGGCGGGGCTGAACTCCTGAGGAAGAGGCGGGGCCGTAGGGTCTCTCGGGGTCTGAGGGGTGGGCGGATCGCTTGTGGGCGGGGCAGGCCCCTGGGAGCGCGTCAGAGACCTCGGGTGTGGGCGCGAAGGGCTGAAAGGAGGCGGGGCCCGGGGCAGAGCCGACAGAGGCAGGGGCGGGGCGTTAGGCTTCTGAGGGGTCCCAGCACCCTCAAGGCCCTGGGCAGAGCGGAAGCAGGGGCACAGGCCCCGTGTTCTGTGGAGACGGCAGGTATGGCAGGGCTGTCTCTGGACCCTGTAGGAGGTGTTGGATTTAGTGTGAGCTGTGGGAACCGCAGACTGATTCCTTGCCTTGGCCCTAGCCTTTCATCTGGTCACTCAGCTTAGAGCCCCTCAGAGAAGCCGGGTAGTAGTCCTATGTTGTTCCAGTTGCTGAGGCCACATCCCTAACTTTACCCTCCCACGAATTCCAGCTTCTAGAATGCACCTCTCCTGGCTTTAAGGGAGAGTGGGGAAGGAGAGAGTTAAGCATATTCCTCGGTAGTGTATGGATTTCAGGACGGTATTACACATTTTCCTAACCTCTTTCTGCCTGTGGAAATCATATTAGCTTCCTGAAGTAAGTTTGCATCTTTGTGAGTCACCAGTTTTTACTTCTCATTGAAGCTTCTGGAACACTCAAGATGTTTCACTGATGAACTGGCGTATTAACGTTTATTGTTAAGATGTGTCAGAATTATTTTGTGGTTTGAGCGATTTGTCATCCACCATTTCGAGTCATGATTGAATTTACCTAGACTGTTCACCACGACCTCCTTACCAATAGCTCACAAGAAGCTACTCTTGAAGAAAAAGGACTATGTATTTTCGTAGTACACATCCCATGATCAGAAGGAAACCTCAGTCCTCTTAGTATGCATCCCTCTTGTACACATTCCATGATCAGAAGGAAATGTCAGTCTCAAGACTTTGAAGAATGAAGTCAATTTTTAATCAAAATGTCTTGAAAGCCAGATTGAATTCTAGAAGACTTCCAAACAAATGCATTTTGGTTTTAATTCATCTTATTCTTGACTAGGAGTCCTGGTGGCACTGTGGGTGAGACGCTGGGCTGCCAAGCACATGGCTAGCAACTCAAACCTACCAGTAACTCTGGGAGAAAGATGAGAAATACTGCGCTTGTGAACTTTTACAGACTCAGAAACCCTATGGGTAGCTATGAGCCAAAACCAACTAGGTAGCAGTAGGAATTCTTGTGCTCATAAATCAGCTCGTTGATTTTCCTTTAACACATTAAGATCTTTGTAGGATATAGTTGTTTCAAGGTTTGCAAGACATTTACATTAAATCACAAGACTTAAATGGTGGTGACTTTGTCTATTTCAAGCCTACCAGTTGATGTAAGGAGCTCCTGTAGTGTAGTGGTTCTAAGTCAGGCTGCTACCTCAAGGTCAGCAGTTTGAAACTACCAGCAGTTCCGTGGGAGAAAGATAAGGCTTTTTCCTCTCGTAAAGATTTGCAACCTCGGAAATCCTGTATGGGGTCACTGTGAATCAGAACCAACTCCAGGGCACAGAACCACCACCACTCACTACCAGTTGATGTAATAAGTCAACTGAACTCTTAAAAAAAAGAATGTCTAGTTTAAAAGCTCCATATTGAGACCCTGGCATTCTTCCATAATTGCAGATATTTTTTAACCAGAGTGATTCCTGATGTTTTTCTGAAAACAATCCAGGAATTTTGTGACTTCATTTCTGTCCCACTAGGGCTTTGTTCTCAGTGTTGTCTGGCCAGTTTTAACTTTTTAGATGAACTCTGCCAATTGTTCACATTGCTTAGCCCTTTCAAGATAGAATTATTTTTTGCTTTTAATTTTTTTGTTGAGAACATGTTTTCAGTAATAGCACTTTGAAGGAAATGAAAAAACTCTAAAAGTAATATGGATTTTAATATAATTAGTGGGACACTGTGTCTCAAGGGGGTCTCTGGTTGGTGGGATAAGGCCCATTTCTTGATTGATGGAGTTAAACAGGCCCCCACCGGAGTCCTGGTGTGGCACAGTGGGATAATGCATCAGACTGCAATGTCACTTGAACTGCAAGGTTGGTGGTTCAAGCTCACTATCTGCTCCTTGGAAACCCTATACAGGGTCACTATGGGTTGGAATCGACTCTATGGCACTTAACAACAGGCCCCCACCAGATGGCAGCGTGCACTAAAAGTGGGATAGCATGTTTCCACTACACTGGTGATATTCCACAGGCCATGATAGAATCCATTAAATGTATGGATTCTAGAGCTAGGAGTCTTTCTACAGGTCTCCAGTGCTGTCTTTGCTACAAGGACTTGTGACTATTGCTCAGGGCCAGCCCGCATCTCCCAGGTCTCCTTTATGCCCCTGAGTTTAGGAGCCAGCATCAGTCCTTAGCATCAGGTGCCCTTTGAAGTAAAAGACAGTTGAAATGTTACGGTTTCAGTTACAAAAACAGTAGAGTGAAAATAGGAATGTAAAAAGTGTCCCATGGGAGTAGTTAATCTTGCAGTCCAGAAACAAGGGACCCTAGGACCACCAAGGGAGAAGAGCACAAGATGGGTAAAGAAAAGGTGAAATGTGGGGTGGTTTCCATCGCTGATCGCTCTGTTCACAGCCTGTTGATAAATCACTGTTTCATCACCCTTTTCTCCCAAAGAACTAGTCAAGTACCTTCTTCCAAAGTCCTATTTTCTTGGCATCAGAATGCCCTTCTCCTACAATGTTTCTTGGTATTCTACCTCTCTTTGGGCTAGTAACCACAAGGTCAGCAGTTTAAACCCACCAGCCACTCTATGGAAGAAAGATAAGGCTGTCCACTCCAGTAAAGACTTACAATCTTGAAAACCCTATAGAGGGTTGCTGAGTTGGAATCCACTTGATGGCCGTGGGTTTAGTTTTTGGTTTGCATTCCCTATTAAGATATTCGAGTCCTGGTGGGGCACTGTAGGATGCACACTCAACCACAAGGTCGGTGGTTCAAGTTTACCAGCCATTTCTCCGAAACCCTATACAGGGTCTCTCTGAGTTGGGACCTACTCAATGGGAAAAGACCTAAAACAAAATTAAGCTTATCGGGACACATTTTTCTGGTTTTCCTTGGAGTGACGCTGTAGGAGAAACACTGGACTGCTAACTGCAGGGTCAGCTGTTCAAACCCACCAGACACCCCAGTTTGCTGTTGAGTAGAAACCAACTGGACAGTACTTAACAAAGTAACTCTGGTGGCACTCTGGGTTAGGCTACTAAAGATGAGGTTGTACGCTACTGTAAAGATTTTGTCTCAGAAAACCTATGCAGGGTCACCATGAATTGGAATCAACAAGATGGCAGGGGGTCTGATTTGGTTTATATCTTCCATAGGAGCCCTGATGGCATAATAGTTAAGTGCTGGATAGCTAACTGAAAGGCTTGAAGTTCGAACCCACCAGCCTCTCTGTGTAACAAAACACAGAAAACACTGTTATGGCTGTACATCCCAGAGGTCAAGTACTTCTCATCACTGTGAGCAGCCAAGGGGCTTGAACCTTCGTTATAGCTCTAGAGCTCATCAGGGCTATCTACACTGCCTGCCTCTGCTGGCTACCACCTTTCTCAGAACCATCCTCACCAACCCAGTAAGACCTCAAAGAGAAAAAGCAGGTCCTCTATCTAAGGCACTGTGGGGCATGCCACAGGCCCTCAATGAAGAGACACACTGTTGTGTTTCCATAGGACATTTATTACCATCCAAACATACTTTCAACAAAGAGCACCGCCCTTAATTTCCCTGGACCCAGAGAATTTCAGTTTTCCTCTAAGGACCCTTGTTTCCCATGATCAAGGCTCTGGAGCTGTTTTTCTTCTTCTCACAGATGGGCAAAGTTTAGAGCTCTGCAAAGGGTAGATTCTTGTTTCCTTTGACAAGTTCTGGGTTGACCACCTTACTATTCCCTTACGCCACAGGGGCACTGTGATGTCTGATCTAGACTGCCCAAGGCTTCCCAGCAAGGGCCTTCGGGAGAGCTGCACTTCACAACTAAGTCTTTAACTGGCCTTTCTGGCTGGTTCCCCAAGAGCCTTGGCTTCTCCTCTTTGGTCCCAAGGGATTGAGAACCTAAACATTCCTGCTGAATATCCCAAGCGAAGAAATTATCAAAAAGATCATATGGATTCCCAAAACTGTTGGGATATGGGACACAGTAAAGCACCCATTTGGATAGCAAACTGAGAAAGGGTGTACTCTGAGACAGAACGGATTAGCTGGAGAAGCCCACCCTAAGCAGGTCACCTCAAGATCAAGAGACCTGCCATCCCTGCGAGTTCAGAATTCCTTTTAGTTGTATGGTAACCCTTTGTTGCCTCTGCAACTCCCTCACAGTGAATGACACCCCCTACTTCACTCTTCATATAGTAAATACCTTAAATACAGAGATGGTTTGGTCAGTTGGGCAGAGGCCAAAACAGGGTTAATATGTCACCTTATCTGTGTCCAAGAAACCCTATGGTGTCTATCCTGTGTGAGTTCTTTGATGACTCATAAGGCGTGAACTTCGAGAAAAGCTTTCTCCACATTCAGAACATTTATAGGGTCTCTCTCCTGTGTGGGTTCTGAGGTGACGGATCCGATTGGAACTGTGAGAGAAACTGTCTCCACACTCATGACAGGTGTAAGGCTTTTCTCCTGTGTGAATTCTTTGATGTCTGATTAAGTTGGATCGATGAGAGAAGTTTTCCCCGCAGAGGGTACATTTATATGGTTTCTCTCCTGTGTGCGTTCTCTGATGTCTGGTGAGGTGCATGCCCTGACCGAAGCTTTTCCCACAAGTCAAACATTCAAAGAGCTTCTTTTCTACCTTGGGGGCTCCATGGTTGGTAAGAAAAGGGGTGCAGTCGCTCACAGCTTCCCCACACTCAGAGAAGGGATAAAGTCTCTCTTTCTCATGAGTTCTTTCATGTATGACAAGGTGTGAACTCCGCGAGAAACTTTTCCCACACTCAGGACATTTATAGGGTCTCTCTCCTGTGTGAATCCTCTGGTGCCTAAGAAGGTTGGAACTATGAGCAAAGATCTCCCCACACTCGGGGCATTTGTAGGGCTTCTCACCTGTGTGTGTTCTCTGGTGCCTGTGGAGGTTGGAGTTGCAAGAAAAGCTTTTTCCGCATATATTGCATTGATAGGGCTTCTCTCCCGTGTGAGTGCGCTGATGGCGAGTCAAGTGGGTATTTTGACTGAAGCTTTTCCCACATTCCAGGCACTTATGGGCCTCTTCTCCGAGGTGTGCTCTATGCAGTGACAGAAAATGTGGGTTCCCACCAAAGAGATCAGCACATTCCACACCCAGTCTTTCTGCTGCATGTATCCTTTGGTGCCTAATCAGGTTCGAGTTATTAGAAAAATTTTTGCCACACAAGGGGCATAAATGGAGTTTCTTTGGCTGCAGTTCTTTTGGTTGCCCCATTTCTCTGCAATTTGTAGCTCCAACTAAGGATTGTTCCAATCTATTATTTGGGGGAAGGTCCCAATGCCCTTCTGACCCGTCCTGAGGCCGTCCCTGCTCAGGACTCCAGGGCACCTCCCGTCTGGCCTGACCAGGCAGTTCCTGAGGGTGGGTGTTCTCAGGGGCAACAGGCTGAGCAGTTTCCTCCTGGTCCTCAAACTTCCCTTCTCCTGAAGAAGTGAGAGAAAGCAAATCCTTTCATTATTTATAGAGTGGGAAATAAGGAACCCTCCACATATACCACTGCCTATGAGGCAGTAGTGAGGTTGGTGCAGGATCAGGCAGTGTTTCGTCCTGCTGTGCATAAGGTCACTATGGGTTGGTACCGACTTGATGGCACCTAACAACAACAACAAATGAGGCAGAGGTCTGGATGGTTGGTTCTGTCTCAGTTTCCCATTTTCTCCCTTCAGAGAGGCATCCGGATAAAGGGTGGGCAATCACTGTATGAATCAGAGCTCAGTGTAGTCTTGGAATCCCCTTCTAGGGGTTCCACCGACCTCTCCAATTCAACCTTCGCCCTTCACAAAAAGAGAGTGATGGGCCAGAGCTGTGAGTGAACTGGGGAGTGGAGACCTCTCAGACACAGAAAGTCAGGGGCTCTGGCGAATCCCCATCTATAGTCCAATGCCCAAATATATAAACACACACTCGTCTCTCGACAGTGGGAACCTTGTCAAGCCGGCGAGGTCTCACCTGCAGTTGGGTTTATGGGCCTCAGGTCTTCTTTACAACTCTGGACCCCGGGGTTCCGTAAATTTCTGCCCTGCTCCATCTGGGGGCTCAGGGTCTCCTGATGGAGACTCGAAGACTCTGCAGAGTCACAAAACACAGACCTCAGTATCAGCACTTTTCTTCACCAGGCTGGGGAAACAAAGACAGCCTGGATTCCTGCCTTAGTCAGGCTCAGTACGGCTGACAGTCATTCTGTGGAATAGATACTCAACTGTTCCTAGTGGGTCTCTCTAGAGAATATCAGAGAAGACTTTAGTCCGCTCACTCTTAAACAAAAACCTCACCACTGCTAACATGCAGAGACTGTGATCTGAATTTCTCTCCATGTTTAGCACTCAGTGAAAAGGCCATGTTCTGTTTTGGGCAGCACAGTAGTGGCAAAGGATATGGAGCACCTAAGACAATACCACTGAAAGGAAACAAAAAACCTGTAGTTACCCCTTTGCAGACTTAGGGTAAATGAGTTTACAGTTGTGATTCTCTTTGTGCAAATCCGCTGTACTGAGTAATGTACACACATCTTGTTTTATGTTGTTTTTATACAGTACAGTTGAAAGATGTGTACGTGAGTATCTATTTAGCATTCACCTAAATCCTATGATCACATTTCTTAGTTTTATTTCAGAAGCATCGTTTGCGATCTGTTCACATACACACGCACACACACTTTAACTTATATTAAGCCTCTATATCTGCAGAATCAGCACTGGACCACCAGGTTGGTTTGCGTTCCAAGGTGGGCAGTTCAAAGTCACCAGGCACTTCTCGAAACCCTGTAAATGGTTGGAACGGACTCAATGGCACTTAGCAACATTCTAAATATACACATTGTCCCCAACATTTCTAAAATGGTCAGTAACGCTAGATTTCCTTCTAAGCACATAAACCCTCCCTTCCTGCCATTTGTGTGACAGTTGCTACACTGGAATGCAGCACCAAGTGTATAAAACCTCAGAAGAACAAGCATTTCCAAATTGCAAGGCACCGAATACTAGCATCCACAGCACTGTGAACACTGTAAAATGTGCATGTACGGAGGGAGTTGTTACGGGCCGCCCAGTCAGTTCAATGCACAGCGATCTTGACAGGCTTTTTAAACCTTTGAGGGAGCACAAAGCCCGTTTCTCCACTGGAACGGAAGGCAGTCTCAGACCACAGACCTTGTGGTTTACAATCCAGTGCTTATAGTACAGAGCCACAACACTCCTGCCTGGAGTGAGTAGGGTCCATGAATTTGATTTACAGGCATCCCTCGTTTGAAGTGCTTTACAGATATGTGTGGAGCGTGTCTTTCGGTACCGCTTTCCCAATAGTGTGCGCTCACTTTGTATCTGTGCCCCATTTTGGTCATTCTTGCATCATTTCAGACTTTTTCATAATGCTATTGCACCCTAAATAGACTACAGTCTAGTGTGAATATAACTCCGTTACATACTGGGAAACCAAAAAGTGTGTGTGAGTTGCTTTAGCCCTGTCTCTGAGGTCTGCCTGTGTTTGTCCATGAGGGTCCCGGTTCCTGCCTTAGGCTCTGGCAGGAGGGGCTCAAGTTCCAGGGCTGCCCATCAATGTGCCTGGCATGTTTTTACCTGATCCTAGTCAAGGGCACTGCAGATAGGGATGTCTCCTGGGGAAGTTTCTCAGCACAGAAGCTCTAGCAGAGCTTATGTTAGAGCAGTGCCTAAGGTCTAGGACCCTGGTCCGAATGGCACAGTCTTCACCCCTTGAAGAGAAGTCCTTACCCAGTGAATCCACAGTCTCGTAACTCTCCTGCACCAGGTCCCTGGAGAGGGCCCTCTTCCTAGGCTCCTGCTGCCCCCACTCCTGGGAGATGTACACAGCCACGTCCTCTAAGTTCTCAGGCAACTGCAACAGTACAAGAGCACCTTTAACCCCTACTGCACCCAGAACAATTCAAGCAGAGTCATGGGTTAAAGGGGCAAACACTAGGGGTGCCAGCCCGACAGCAAAGGGTGGAGGAGACAAAGCAGGCGGGGAACTCATGTAGGGAAGGAGAAAGGATCCTCTGCAGGGGACCGGAATGATCCTGCCTCTACAGGAGGAGCACCAGCGGGGAGGAGATCATGGGAACATTCACATCACCTGGGGCGCAGTCAGTTCCTTGTCTTCCGTATTCCCCTCGGGAGGAGAGAGAGAAAGCCAGGGAGGCGATAATGCTGAGAGTGACAGAAACCACAATGAGACTCGCATTCTGGAGTTTCGGCCCCCCAGGGAGGATGATTACAACACAATATCCGGTCCCCAACACCCAGCCTGTTTTCAGGGTTAAACCTTAATAAAGAAGGCCATGCGTATGATAGCCATGCACCACATGATGGGATCATAGTCAAGAAACACCAACAACCTTTCCAGCAAGGCTGCCTAACTCCAAGCCCCCAATCATTCTGACTGCTCCCAAGAAAACTAGATGGCCTGTTATATGTAATAAAAGGTTGCACAAGAGAGGGCTCCTTCCCGTCCCCGCCCCAGGAGCACCCATGCCACGGTTTCCAGTTCTTATCACTGCCCATCAGAAATCCCAGGGTTTAGAAATTCCCTGTCCTTGGACTGCTGGTGCCACCAGCAGCCCCAAAGCCCCTCCTCCCTCCCCTGTGCCCCAATGACTGTTCCTCACCCCTCTCCTTTACAGCTTGGGGGTCCCTTTGGGGGCTGGGGCCTAGCAGCTCCTGCAGCCTGGGGCCAGGGCTTCGCTCAGTCTCCACGGGCTCCAGCTTGAAGCTCGGTGACTCTTGTGCTGTTTCCAGAGGCAAAGGCTCCAATAGCACTGCGGTTCCCCGCCCATGGTTTGTGACCTGGGAACCAACCCACATCACTCATCATCACAACAGGGCCCAAGAGAAAGGGAAGTTAGTACAGGATTCTGAAGACAGACCTTCAACTGAGAACCACAGGGATCCTGGTTGGGCCCAGCCAGAGAGAAGGACGTTTCACCTGGAGGCTCTTTTCATCCCATGACTATCAGTGAAAACGTGTGCACGTACGTGGAGGGGCCTGCTTCCAGTGCACACCTACCCTCCAGAGCTCTCCTACAACACCTCACTTCTTCTTCACCCACCTTCCCTTTCTCATTAGTAGATGAACGAACCCGGGTGGCCCTGTGGGCAGGGACCTCAGAGTGACACGGCTTTTCTAAGTTCACAGTAAACTGAGACCGAATTCTGCAAGGGAAGGCAGAAGCTGAACTACACCAAACCAAACCCAGACTCTAAATCGATTCTGACTCGCAGCGACCCTACAGGACACCGTAGAACTGTTTTTTAGGGAGGCTTTACATCTTTATGGAAGTAGATTGCCTCGGTTTTCTCCCACTGAGCCATCGGGCCTCCTTAATAAAACAACAGCTGATGTTATTAGGCAATAGAATCAAGACCGACAGTTATCAAAGCTTTACCTGCTGCTCTCTTACTTTAATCCTCAAAATAACCCTAGAAGAGCATTTTATCATCCCATTTTACTACCTGGAAAACTGAGGTCCCAAAGTTAGTATTAGGTTTTATCCTTGCCCATGTAGGGGTAACCCAGTAAATTCAAGTGGGGAAACAACCCAGTAGGATGCCTTCTCAGAGCCCAACTACGCGGGGCGAAACCCGCTCTTTAGCTCTCTCACCTGTTGCCTCAATCTCCCGAGTTCTCTCTGCACGTCCTCCACCAGCGTCACCGCTTCTTCGCCGCTCTCCGGATGCAGCTCTTGCACCCGGCTCTGGATCTCCGGGGGCAGAATGCTCAGGAACTGATCCAGTACTAGCAGCTCCAGGATCTGTTCCTTGGTGCGCAGCTCCGGGCGCAGCCACTCATGGCAAAGCTCCTGGAGCCGGCTGAGGGCTTCTCTGGGACCAGCAGCCTCTTGGAAACGGAAGCGTCGGAAGCGCAGGTGGGCAGACTGTGGGCTGGACCCGGCGTCGGACGGGGGCAGCTCCTGGCTCCATGAGCAGTCCTCCTCCAGTTTCACGATTAAGAGCCCTTCCCGCTCCAGGGATCCCGGGCCCGACGCCATCGGCAGGTTCCTGAAGCGCCTCGGTCCCGAAACCAGGTGCGCAGTGCGCGAAGGCGTCCCACGGAACCCACGCGAAAGTGGACGTCGTCGTCAGAAGCCCGCGGACCTGGGACTTCAAGTCCCGGCGGAGGGACGATGTTCCTGCCCGGGCTCAGCCGGCTCCTGCGTCTTAGTCGCAGTATCCTCGCCTGCCCTGCCAGAGCGCCCAAAGTCCGTCCCCGTCGGTAGTCCACACTGGACTCGGCCCTGGATTTCCACGCCGGAAATTCCGGCGCGCGAGTTAGGCGTCTAAAAGCTAAAGGCGCTTGCTCCGGACCAACTTCCGGTTGCCCTTTACCGAAATTCAACGCCCATTGGGTCAGGTCCCGCCACACTCACCGCTGACCAATGGAATAGAGAAGATTTGCTTTAGGGGGTGGGACTAATAGGAAGACGCGAGAGTGGCGATTGAGGGCAGGAGGGGGCGGGATTCGCTAGGTAATTCAGACTCTTGAATAAGAAGCCAGTGTGACCCACGGATTACTTTAGTCAGAACCCCAGGGATGCTTATTAATATGCAAATCCCCGAGACACGGTAGATCCACTGCATCAGAGGGTGAGACCCGGCAATCTGAGTTTTTAACAAGTGCTCTGGTAGCTGGACTGATGCGCGAATGCCGCGCCCCGCCCCTGGGGCTGGGAGGCCCCGGAAGCTAAGTCCACTCTAGCTTCGTGTTCAGTCCCTCAGCATCGGTTGGGCGCGGGGCTTGCCGGGATTTGCAGTCCCGGGGCTGTTCTGTTCTGAGTAGGCTTTTCGGTTGCCCCAGAGCCGTGCGAGCCAAGGCAGCTAACGGGAGTGTGACCCAGCGCGGTGCGGTGCGGGCGGCCGTCAGCGACCATTCTCCCCAGCCGGGTTTTGAACTGGATTTAAACTTTGCCTTTCTCCGCGTGTCCTGGGATTCAGAAACAAGTTTGGGATTGCTCAGCCTTTTAAGGAAGGGTCATTATCATAGGAGTCGGGCTGCTAACCTCAAGGTCAGCAGTTCGAAACTACCGCGGGAGAAAACTACAGCCTCGGAAACCCTATGCAGCAGGGTCGCTATGAGTCGGACCGACTCCACGGTACACCACCACCACCAGCCCCATTGTGAAGGGAACTTTCTTCCTAAGGGACGAATGGAAGGAAACCCATGGGTTCATTACCAGGTCGAGGCGTTGATAGGGATGCCCAGCCCTGAGGCTAGGGCCAAGGTCGATCCAGACCCCGATTCCTCCAGTGACGACCAGGCCTGGGAACTCGAGAAATAGAAGTACCACGGGAATGCGTGGTGTCGGCCTGTAACTGCCAGTGTTTGCTGCGCACCAGGCATGTGGCCAATCGCTTAACAACAAACTGTATCTTAACAACAAACTGTCGGAAATAGATGCTGGTATTTTCTCTGTGACAGATAACACTACTTGAAAGTTAAAGTCACTTGCTCAGAGTCACACAACTTATGTTACATTGGTCTCAAAAGTCCAGACTACTGTGGCCTGAAGAGTGATCTGGGTCCACAGAGTGGATTTTGGTTGATTGGGCGATACTGTGGGTTAGGCTTGGTACTGCTAACTTCAAGAGTGGTGGTTCAGACCCATCAGTCTGTGAGATTTACAGTCTAGGAAACCCTATATAGGGTACCTGTGAGTTGCAAGCTACTCATTGGCAGTGGGCTTGGGGTGGAAGAGAGACCAGGGTGTTTTGTTTTTGCTCATATTCCACTCCAGTAATCCAAGCTGTCACCACAAACGTGGCTGAAGGCCCTAGAGCAGATGGGTAGATACAGATGATCTCAGATCCATTTGGAAAAACAGTGTTGACACTTTATTTTCGTGACTTCAGAATTCCCTAAGACCATCTGGATGGTTTTAGGCATTCAAATAAAAAAAAAGTAGAAATCCTAACCTCATAACCACTTCTCTATTGACAAATACAAAATGACACTAATTGGTGGTGATCCACACAATTGAAAATCTTTGTTTAGTTAATAAAGAACAAGTTAACACCTGATGTCAGCAATGATCCCCTAGTTCCATGTCCTTTCTAAATCTGGCGTGAATTTCTGGCAGTTCTCTGCCCATGTACTGATGTAGCTGTTTTTGAATTATCTTCAGCAAAATTGTACTTGCGTGTGATATTAATGATATGATTTCCACATTCCACTGGGTCACTTCTCTTACGAATGGACACAAATATGGTTGTCAACTAATCGGTTAGCCAGGTAGCTGTCTTGTAAATTTCTTGGCACAGATGCGTGAATGCCTCCAGTGCTGCATCAGTTTGTTGAAAGCTTTCCGTTTTCATTCCATCAATTCTTGGAGCCTGGCTTTTCACCAATGCCTTCAGTGCTGCTTGGACTTCGGGCATCATCACTTCTTAATCATATGCT